AAACTACCGGACAGATACAAAAAATTCTACTTCCTCCAACGAAATCAAAGACCTTTTTCTTAAGAACCGACGTAAATTTATTTAGAAACACTAAATCAGTTTCCTCTCACTTTTAATGAAATAGATTAAGGTACTTTTTACCAAGAACCAAAAGCAAATCTAGTTCTTTGATGTGGCTTCAAAATGAAGAACGACAACTTTGCTCACATAACATGAGTATCCCAATAACCAAGCATCCATATCTTATGTCCGCGCTAATTTGTCCACTCTCTGCGAAAAAGTTTAACGATTCCTCAAGAGAAAGTGTCATAAAAGTAATTTTTTCTTTCAAACTAATATACCAGGACATATTTACTTGCTTTCTTACATTTCAATCCGGAACACCATAAAAAATTATTTTTTAATGAGAAGAAAGAAACCTAAAACGATACCACTTGCAGTCAGCAGATCCAAGCGCATTTTTTTTAAGTTCAAACTAGCGAATGGAAACAAGGAATTCTACTTTCTCCAAAGAAATCAAACAAATTTCCTTAAACACGGACGCATATTTATTTTGAAATAATAAATTAATTACCTCTCACTTTCAATAAAATAAATTAAGGCACTTTTACTGACGAATAAAAGCAAATCTAGTTAACTGATGTGACTTTAAAATGAAGAATGACAATCTTTCTCACATAAGATGAATATCTCGATAACCAAGCATCTATATTTTATGTCCGCACTAATTTGTCAGCTCTATGTGAGAAAGTTTGCCGACTCATCACAAGAAAGTGAGTCATCAAAGTAACTTTTTCTTTCAAACTGATATAGCGGGACATATTTACTTGTTTTCTTACCTTCCAAACCAGAACACCGTAAAAAATTATTTTTTAACGAAAGAAGCAAGAAACTTAAAACGATACCGAAAAATATTTACTTGCAAACAGAAGATCCTGCCACATTTTATTTTAAGTTCAAACTATCGGACAGACTGTCTGCAAAGAAAACAAATTTATTTTGAAATAATAAATTAAATTCCACTCACTTTCAATAAAATAAATTAAAGCACTCATTCTGAGGAACAAAAGCAAATCTAGTTACCTAAGGTGACTTCAAAATGAGAACGACAACCTTTCTCATGTAAGATGAACATCCCGATAACCAAGCATCTATGCTTTCTGCCCACACTAATTTGTCAACTCTCTATGAAAAAATTTGTCCGACCTTTCAAGAGAAAGTGTGACATCAAAATAACTTTTTCTTTCAAACTAATATATCGGGACATATTTTCTTGCTTGCTTATTTTCCAAACCGAGACACCATAAAAAATTATTTTTCAACGAAAGAAGCAAGAAACTTAAAACGATACCAAAAATATTTTCTTGCAATCACAAGATCCAGCCACATTTTTTTTTAAGTTCAAACTACCAGAAGAACACAAGAAATTCTACTTTTTCAGAAGAAATAAAAAATTGTTTTCTTAACCACTGATAAAAATTTATTTCGAAACAATAAATTGATCTCTTCTCACTTTCAATAAAATAAATTAAGGTACTTTTACTGATGAACAAAAGCAAATCTAGTTACCTGATTTGACTTCAAAATGAAGAACGACAACCTTTCTCACATAAGATGAATATCCCGATAACCAAGCATCTATGTTTTACGTCTGCGCTAATTTTTCAACTCTACGTGAGAAAGTTTGCCGACTCTTCAAGACAAAATGTGTCATCAAAGTAATTTTTTCTTTCAAACTAATATATCAAAACATATTTACTTGCTTACATTCCAAACTAGGACACCGTAAAAATTTATGTTTCAATGAAAGAAGCAAGGAAAAGCGATACCAAAAAATATTTAGTTGCAGTCAGAAGATCCAGCCACATTTTGTTTTAAGTCCAAACTACCGGACGGACACAAAAAATTCTACTTTCTTCGAAGAAATCGAAAAAAATTTCCTTAACCACGGACGAAAGTTTATATTGAAACAATAAATATATTTCCTCTCACTTTTAATAAAATAAATTAAGACACTTTTACTGACAAACAAAAGTAAATCTAGATACCTGATGTGGCCTTAAAATGAAGAACGACAACATTTCTCACATAAGATAAATATCCCGATAACCAAGCATCCATATTTTATGTCTGTGCTAATCTGTCAACTTTATGTGAGAAAGTTTGCCCACTCTTCAAGAGAAGGTGCGTCATCAAAGTAAGTTTTTCTTTCAAACTAATATATCGAAACATATTTACTTACTTGCTAACTTTTCAAACCGAGACATTGTAAAAAATCATTTTTCAACAAAAGAACCAAGAAACTTAAAACAATTTAAAAAAACATTTACTTGCAATTAGATCCAGCCACTTTTGTTTTAAGTTCTAACTATCGGACAGACACAGTGCATTTTACTTTCTCCGAAGAAATCGAAAAGTTCTCCCTTAAACACGGACGCACATTTATTTTCAAATAATAAATCAATTTTCTCTTACTTTCAATAAAATAAATTAAGACACTTTTACTAACGAACAAAAGCAAATCTAGTTACCAGATGTGACTTCAAAGTGAAGAACGACAACCTTTCTCACATAAGATGAAT